ATCATTGTTTATGATTATCTGTTTGTGGATCTTCTCCAGAATGGCCTGGTGGCAGAAGAAACACATCAAATACTCTTCACCAATGCACTTACACATGCCCCATCTACACATGTCCCCTGGGTCACAAGATGGCATCAGTGATTTGACTTCACTTAAGTTCCTGATTACCAAAAGTTTTTGCCGCAGAGCTAATAGAACTAGCTTTACACTTCACAATTTACATGATTGATCTCTAATGGCAAAATGTCCTTTGTCCTGTCATAGTTTGCAAATAATTTCTTTCCTTTTCAGGCCCCGGGACATGAAGTTGAGTCATGGACAGAATGACTCCTGATACTAAAGTCTTTTTACTGAGTGAAACTCCTTTAGAGCAAACATTGTTGGCTTTTTTCCTTTAACTCACTCCCCTGGCTGTTAGCCCAGTGCCCAGCAACAGCAGGTGCTGAGTGAATGACAACTGAGTGAACACCAGACCTCTGCGGGTAATTCCCCTAAGGGATCTCATCTGGGTTCCTTTCCAGCCTTGGGACAAGACACCTATTGTATTTTCTGGACTGCCCCTTCAGACCCCTGCCTCCCACAATACCCCTGTCCTCACTCCCAGGATCTGGGCCCCCACAGGAAGCCCTCTTGGGACTGTACTATGTCTCGGTATGTAGCATGTACCTGCTGCTCCCCGGGGCAGGGCCACATCCTGCACAGACCTGCGGGAGGTCCCGCTGTGTGGGATACCCTGGGGAAGGGTGGAGACTCTGGGAGCTGCCCTCTAGGACTGCCATGACATAGGAAGCAGAGACCAGCTCAAGTGTTACAAGGTGATACTTTTACCTAAGTTGGAATTCAGAAATCGGTCCGGACGATACCTCTCCCACAGTGGCCGGGACATCAGTGGGCTGTTTTCAAAATACCCGTCTCCACTGCAGGCAAAAGGAAGACTCTCAGGCCTCTGCCATGCACAGGCTCCCCCTCCACCCACTCACTGAAAGCTATGAATTCATTCATTCAGTCAGCCTGAATCACTGAGCCTCAGGACCCAGCAGGAGAGGGAGGAGGTGGCTGGATAGGGTGGAAGCTCTAACTTATCTGGTTGACAACTGGAGAGAAGTGACAGGTCCACTTGGTCATGAGACAGGGGTGGAAAATAGGACTCCTTTCTGTTTGTTTCCCTTATACCAGGGATTGGAGAGGGACATACTGTAGGAGACATGCACTGTGATGGTTAAGAGGTGGTCTCTGGAGTTAGGCAGTCATGGGTTCAGCTGCTGATCCCAGCACTTATATAATAGCTTGGTGACCATAGGAAAGTTACTTAACCTCTCAGATGCTTAGTTTTCAGTCTGAGTAAAAGGATTATGGGAGCATCCACCTCACAGCATTGTGAGGGTTAAACACGGGATATCTGTAAATCCCTGGGCATCAAACTGAGCGAAGCCTGGATACAATGGGTGCTGCTCTAGGACAGAGGAAGGCCTGGGGCAGCCTCACCCCAGGTGCATGCTGGGGGCCGTGACTCCTGACTTTCTCCCCCTCTAAAACCAGCTGGATGGCACACACTTGCTTGACCCCTCCTTTGGGTGTACTTGGATGGTGTGAAATTCCTAGCTGGTTGGGTCATTCCTCTCCTTTCTCCTTCACAGCATATCAAAAAACTAGTGAAAACAATGGAATTACAGGGGCAACCTGAACAGAAAACCACTTCTGGGAATTACCAGGAACAAACGAAGTGAGACTGACTGCCACACGTCAGCATACGTGAATATATGACTGAGGACTGTTATGACTAAGAACTGTTGAGTCAGAGCCCGAGCCGCCTTCCCACTCAGGAACTCACATTTCCACTGCCCATGCCCCGACCCTCCTCTCCCTCCTCTCTGCTGGCTCCGTGTTTATATAAGCTGCTGGTTGCCTCTGGGTAAGTGGCTCATTCTCAGGAGGTCAGGAAGGGAGGGTCCAGCCTCTGATATCTGGGTTCAAATCCCCACTTTGCCACTTCCTAGCTCTGTGACTCTAGGCAAGTTGCTTACCGATTTCTTTCTCAGTTTCCTTACCTGTAGAACGGGGATAATAAATAGCATCTACCTGGTAGGGTGGTTGTGATAATCAAATGAAGTAATGTATGTGAAGTACCTAGTGTAATGAATGTGGCAGTTACTATGGTATTTGAGAAGTCAAGAGAGGCCAGCTAGCATTGGTGGAAACCAGGGCAGGCAAGGCTCTGGGAGTTATTACTCAGGTTGAGCTATATGAAATCGCCAATAGCCAGAGGTTGGGATGGGAAAGAGAGTGGCAGGGGCTTTTCATCTGAAA